ACATAAACATCTCATGATTTGGCACACTTGGCAAACACTGTGACTATTTCAAGGTGGCTGCTGTTTCTAAATTTTTGTAACATGGTGGGAGAGCACTGATTTTTTTTTTTTTTTAATATCCATAACTTTTCTGAGATTTGGGGACTTTTGCATGTGGGTGGGTTTTTGTGATAGTAAACAGCTGAAGAACTTTTAAAGCTGCCAAATTAAATCCAGGGCAGCACAAGGAGATAATGAAGAACAGGAACTCAGAACTACAAGAACTTTTCTCTTTGTGCTATGCCAGATTTGTCTCTCCCCCTTAAAAAGTGTTGTGACGTAACAACCTTATCAATCTCCATTTAAAGAGTTGCCAAACTAGAAGGGCTTCTCAGGAATGAAAGACAATAAAACAAAATAATTTTTATTGTGTATTTGGTAAAATACTGTTCTCGGGATGCTTGCTGTTAATAAACCATTTCATTTACTGAAAGAAATATGAACCTATTAAAATCAGCTGCCCACTCACTGAAAAAATTCTGCATAAGGAAAATAAATGGCAAAAAGACATCAAACCAAGTTCTGTTTGCCTCTGACAGCATTACAGAAGATAACTGCATGTACATACAGCTCAAAAGAAGTCAGTTCCACAGGTGTCTTCCCAGCAATATTATCAGTGTGTTACTAATATTATTTGTTTCCACGTATAAAACTCTACCTGCTTACATAAAATTATACTGCTTGTATCAAGAAAAAATTATCACAGCTAAAAAAGCCCATTCTTCCAAAAACTTGCAGCAGTAGACTACAAGTCTCTTGCTCTTGCTTGGAATCAATCAGTGTTCCAAAATCATGACAGAATTGTAAATTGCATGATTATGGAAAGTTTCCTCCATTTTTAGATGGCTAGTAAAATAGAGAAAATGAAGAATGCATGAAACTCATTACAATGCTAAACAACATTTAAGAGCTTTGCCCCATCCATAAATGCTCTCGTTCTGTTGTCCACAATATCTTTACACATAAAACAACTTATTCTTCCGAGAATTCTGAACTATCAAGGGAGAATTAAGGAGAGAAGAGCAGCTTCACTTGGTTTCAGTCTTAGTTTTATGTCCAAGGTCTGAGCTTTTTATTCTTCAACACAAATGCCTGTATAATGTAAAGAACACTGTACATTGTAGAGAAAAAATTCTCAGACATAAGAAGTTACAAACAATATCCACCTTTAGTTTCCTCTGTATTTCCAGCTTTTTCTTCTTTTTTAAATCTTGCATCCTGATTGACTCCTAGGCTCTAACACAAATGTGTAACACCATAAGCTTCTTCCCCAAAGAACAGGTACACAAAACAGCAGGACAGCACAAGCACTTGGTTTTTAAGAAGCTGCTCATATTACCAAAATGCCACTCAATTTGACAAAACTCCGTTTCCAGTATAGAAGCTTATTAAAGGGAAATTCAAGATGCAATTCTAGATCTGCAAAAGTGTAGTAACTACTTTAAATCCACTTTAATATCTCACATTAGAAATTTTCACGCACACACACCAAATCACAGAAAAGCTGAATACTTTTTAGTAAATTAAGATTGCTTCTGTGTTCATCCTTTGACTGTCTACACACGGGACAAATATCAGTCAGAATCATTCTAACTAGAAAGAGACCTGATTCCAGCAGTCAGTCTGTCTTCACAGATGCTAAACTTTAGAAAAGTACTTTTGAATCTAAGGCTGAGAAGTGTTTCAGAAGAGCTAGGTAATATCACTGTATATAGATTTCTTGGCTGGGTCCACATTATCTAATATATCTTTCCCAGGGCAAGGAGAGGACAGGAATAATTTGTCTGGTCGCTCTACCATTCTAGCTCTGGAGGATTAATGATGGGGTGACGGCATCATTTTGGAAACAAGATGCTGATTCAAAGGGCTTCAGGTTAGGCTAGGACTGTTGTCCCAGAAGAAGGGTTCTTTCACTCAGTGTGCAATGAGCCAAAAAACAAACAGAGTCGAGGAATTTGTTTAATTCATTTCTGTGCAGAGATGGGTGCTAGGTGGTAATTCCACAAAGCTAGCCCATACCTCCAGCAGGATGAGGCCAAAACCGGTAAGACAAAACTCAGTAGCTAAAGAGACTGGGAGAATCTGACTCCTAAAATAAACACAATTACACTACCAATAAAAATAGTAATTGTGAGTGAAGAAATACATGTCCACAATAACATGACTTACCATTTCACAGTCTTGACTTTGTCCAGGAACTTTTACAGGCACTGCTGGAGGCCACAAACTGTCTATCAGACTAAAAAGTCCTAATGTCCTTCAAAAAGAACAATAAAATCAGGTTTAAAATGTTTTCCAATATTATATGTCATATTAAAAAGATCGATTTAATTATTTAAATATTAATTTAAAAGATTAATATAATTCAAACCAGTGCACGATTATGAAAACAATCTTAAATCACATTTGTTTTCTAGAAGCTGGTTTTGATTTGGTCTAATTAAAACTCCATCATTTCTGCTGCAGGGTGGAGAGCAAGGGAAGGGATGCATCACACTCAGTGACAAGCAAGTCACATTTAATTCTTTGCCATGAACAGCCTGCAGCATGACAAAATTCAGGGGAACTGGGCTAAATGCTAGCTTATGAAGGACAATGATACCAATACAACTTCTTTTAAGAAATAGCTTCATGACATAGCATTTTTTACTTGTAGATTAAACAAAATGTTTTGCCTTTATCATTTCTGCTTCCTACTTTTCTCTAACAGCTGATCATAAATGCTTTCAGGAAAGTCTGCGACCAGCCACGAACATCTAGTAGAAAAACTGGCAAGCTTTTCTCATCTTAAATGCACTCAGGCCTCAGAGTACAAACGTGCAGAGATCCACCTCCTTCCTGCATCCCCGGTAATTTAGCTATAACTTTTTATTTATTTATTTTTGCAAGTTTCCCACTTTTCCTTTAGAAATAAACATAAAATCAACAGCTTAGCACATTAAGGTAAACTGGCACAGACTCTGAGCCTGCTTTAGCATTCAAAGCGGGAATGTGCAGGAGTTCAGCAGCTACTTTGTCAGCTGATAGGACACCCAGGCAGTAAAGGCAGGAACGTCTGAGGGAGAGGCCAAGAAAAGAATTGAGGGAGGGGAAATAACTACAGACAACCAACTTGAAAAGGCATGCGTTTTGGAACTAAAGCTTTTACCTATTTTGTCCTAGTTCTCTGGGAATGTTCTGTATAGTTGAACCACAGACATCTGGATTTTAACCCCACACTGCCCTCCAGAACAAGCAGTCTGTCCCTCAAATTAAGAAAGCCACTACTTCTGAAACAGCTCTAGAAACGAAGTCAAACACTTGCTAGAAGTGTTATTCACTCCTGAACAAAGCTGCTGGAAAGGCATACTCAGTGTACAGCCCTAAAGCACCTTGCAACATGCTGCTTTTCTTCAAGGAGTCAAGGAAACTCTTCCTTAAAGTTCTGCTCAAAGCTCACTTCTGATTAAGCTTACTAATGCTTATGTACTTCTGTATTTCTCTAGTCTTTCTCCTTATCCTTAAATGTTTATACTTTGGGTATCTATTAGTCTTCCTCCGGTGACTCTTCATAAAGCATCATATAATGTTAATAATGACGCCTGGTGGACCAGCAACTAGAAGTGTTATGAATGTGTAGTTCAGACTGGATTTGTGGAATGAAGCTTTCGGGTCCAGATTCAGGCAATGGACTAGCAGATTAAAAAGATGACTTTGCCATCTGTAGTTGTGCTCCCCAGACTAACGAACCAACCACAAACACAAATATGCTGCCCTTCTAGAGAAATGAACTTGACTTATATGGCATCATTGCTCAGTCAAGGAAAAGGCTGAGTTCAGATGCTGAGAGTTTTGTTTGGTTTTGCTGTTTTTAATGTTTAAAACATTGCAACATCCAAAGCAACCCTTCTTAGGTATTACAGAGACTTTACAGCAAACTGACCACTCCTGGACTCCTTGATCAGGGTGACACTTTCTGTCCTGTATTAAACAGAGTGATTTCCTCTCCACAGTCACACGAAGATCAGTGCTCAGTGGAACTAACTGGTTCCGTTAATTTATTTGAATGAAAATGGGGAGTTATAAAAAAAGAGAATAGCCTTCTGTACAACCCAGGCAGCTGCAGGAGTGGCTTTCCTCACAGGACACTGGCTATAAAGACAACGGCAGACTGATCCCTCACTAAAATCTGTATTTTTAAGCTTGTACAAGAGACACAAAGTTGTCCCGTATTCTGCAGTTCTCTTCCAGCTTTCAGTCACATATCAGCATATTCAGGACATCTGGCAAATTCAGTTCTTCAATTATTTGTGTTCTTTTGGAGAAGGTGGTCTATTGCTTGAACTAGGAGAACTTAATTATTAGTAAATTACTGTATTTCTTTATAAATAGGTAGAGGAACAGAGTGTATAGAGACTATCTCCTGAACATCTCGGACTCATCCGTTGCTTTGATACTGGTCAGGCAAACGACAGGGATATTTAACACCTGAAAGATTTGCAAGCTCCACATCTCAGCACGCTGTGATCCTCCTCTACCAAAACGGTAGCTCTGCTCTGGAGCTGTCATTTATGTGCCAAGGAACGTCCCAGCCAGTGTCCCCGATAAGCGAGCTCCTGTCTTGCTCCACCCGTGTATCTGCCTCCAAGAAAGTTAATGCTCCCCTTAAACATTTATGGATTTTGACTCATTGGGGAGGGGGGCAATCACACTGGAGAAATGGCAATACATTGTGTCCTCCTCTGTAGAAAATAATTATCCTGACAGAAAGAATAAAATTCATTCTCTTTATTGGCCATGCAACGTTCAAATCCCACTTCAATCTGACTTGAACAATGGGTGTATTTTACCCAATGTTTATCCTTCTTCAGCTATAGAGTCAGAACAACAGATGAAGAGCTGGCTCTGTGCTACAGTGAAGGGACTCGGTTAGCCCCAATGTGCACAAAGGGCTTTTCTCACTTTAGAAGGTAAAATAAAAACTTAATAATTTAGCTCTGTGAGTGTAAATTGCTAGACACTCTATTTAAAAAAAAAAAAACTTTAAAAGACAAAAATTTTAATGACAAAAGAAGGACGCACTTCTAAAAAAAGGAAAAGTACAATAAGAAGTGAGAAGACACAGGCTCAAGGTTAAAACAGAACATGTAAAGTATTTTGAATAATATTTTTTCTGCTTAAGAGACAAGGAATCTATTCTAATATTCTGTAACAGGAAAGGGAAAGGGAGGGAAAGGGAGGGAAAGGGAGGGGAAGGGAGGGGAAGGGAAGGGAAGGGAAGGGAAGGGGAGGGGCGGAGAGGACGGAGGAAGGGAAGGGGAGAAGAGGAAAGGACTGAATCCTTACCTGAAGGACAGAAACCATCTGTCAGATTCTAAATGACAGAGTTAATCTCATAACTTTCCATAAGGAACCAAAATCTATGTTGGATAAAAAATCCTTTTGTTACATACTAAATGCATGGATATCTAGTGTTTATCTACCAAACAGAAAGACCACCACTAGCAATGTGGTAGGAAGATATACAGAAGTATAGATTTATGACAGAGTCCTCTGCATACAGGTACTCTTCTCTTCCATAAACACGTATCTTCAAACTTTGCCTATATGTAATGATGCAGTTATATCTATGTGGGTTTTGTATACATACACACACACACACAGACATATTATATATAGTTAATATATAAAATAATTACTCTTAGCATCCAATGTGCTCTAAAAGTATTCACTTCAACTTTAATTTGGCTTGCTGAATTATGGTATGTCTTTTCCATATAGCCATAAATGCAAACTGCCTGCTGTGAACCCACACAGAAAGCAGAGAATTTTAAATGTTTCATACTGTTAAATAGGCTGAATATATGGTTGAGAGAATACAAAATATACCTTCAGCACAAGCACAAATCATTTCTGACATAATTAACAAATCATCTTAAGCTACTAAAAAGAAAAATTACTATAAGATAAATGATTGATACTAATAATAACACAGCATTTACTTTCCCCTCGCCACGAATTTTAGGCACAGCAGACTGGGCTGCCTGGTACAGAGGTTGCTCTCCTTTGCTCACCTAACCACCTTCCTTCCCAGCTTCTCAGCTCAGCAGGAGACAGAAGTCACCTCCTGCTTCTAACCTTCTCGGCTTGTTTTGCCTGTCATTGCAAAGTCAAAGGGCATGCATTCATATGTGCACACACACATATATGCTTGCTCTATGACTTCTCATAAAACATACGCTTAAAAAAAAAGCCCTTGCAATTATATTTAGTCACCCCATAAAAAGATAAATCAATACCCACAGCTTCAGTACAATGCTCTGTCCCTGTGGAAATGTCACTCTTTTCATACTGCAAACTATACCGCAAAAATCAAACTACTTCAGACTTTGATTTTTACAAGCTGTATGTCACTAGCTTTCTGTTTTGGCTGCTTAAAATTATACTAAAGTGTTATAAAGGAAAACAATCTGCTTTGACAACTTATTTCACAATTTACTGAGGAGATTTTATTTCTCTCACCAACACAAAGTTTCATCTACAGTGCTGGTCCAATAACATCATATGTTACATGCCTGAATAAACTTTTTTGCATTAGAGATATACTGCTATGATTTTTGATCAAAATACACAGTTGGGGGATTTTTCAGTTTTAATAATTACACCACAGGGTCAGGGGAAAATGACCATACAGAGAAGATATCAGAAATATCAAAGAAAGAAGAACAAGGAAAACAAACGCACATAACTAAGAACAGAAAAAAGGCCAAGTCAGGTTTATGGAAGGGGACAGGAAGTAAGACGCTAGGCTTCTCCTCCACCGCCCTCCACAGTTCCCCGGAGACTCCAGACTTAGCAGTTTCCTCCTCTCCTCTTCTCCTAGTATTAGTCTAGACTCAAATAGTTTTCTTTTGGCACTAACAGAGGCTCAAATTGCCTCAGTTTGCAGGCTCACTTATTCAGAACTCAGAAATAAAGCAACTCCTAGCCCTCCATGAAGCATCTCTTCGCTCAAGACTAAAAAGAAACTCAGTAATAGTCCCCCAGACTGCATGAGTTGGAACTATCAAAAGGCAAGCAATCCAGACAGAAAGCTGATACTGTAGGCAAGCTCTCCCTCTAACATACCTGATAAGATCCTTGAGCATGCAAGCTATGCAACACCATATTTTCTCAGAGTTGAGTAATACAAGAAACAAAAACATAAAGAAAATAAAAAACCCAAGCAGCATCTCAGTCAAAAATCTAGTCAGGTAGGAAGGGTTGTTGGCTTTTTTCCTGAGTTTTAGGATAGCTGTTGAGATATACGAAATTTGTTCATATATCTTAAAAATATGTTGTTTAAAATGAATATGAAACTATTTTATTAAATAATTTGTTTACATTCTTTAATAACTCAGTCTTCTGCAGTACCTTGGGAATTACATATAACACATTAAAACACTGAATTTCTAACATTTCTAGAATTACTTTTGATCCAACATGCCTATTTTGTATTCTCCAGTGCTGGTTATTAAGCAGACTTATGACAGAAGCACTGAAGATGGAAGCATCAGCCAGTATTTGTTAAAAAGAAGAAAACTCAAGAAACAAAATTAATTTCTGATATATATCCAGCCATCAAAAATAATAAAAGGGGTAACAGATATTCAGAACTTTGAAGTAATTACTTAAGTTATGCTTTAAACAGAATTCAGCTTTTAACCACAGCAATTACTAAAGTGTTTCAGGACCTCAAAACCTCAGAGACGTGGGTGGCTCTTTTAGATGGCAACCTTTTTGGAGGAGGGAAAACCAAAGGAAGGAAGTTATGACTTCCTTGTGCTGTGGAGAGTTCTCACTATTACATTTCCTGTCAACGTCCAGCAGTTGAAAAACTTTCGTTTATGGCAGTTAGCAGTGGTCCTCTCTTCTGAGTGTAAAGCAAAACAGAGAGAAAGTATACAGTGAAAAGGGGAGGAAAAAGGAGGAAAAAAAAATAGCAAGCTGGGGCAAAATAGTGACCAATAGCACAGACTAGGACACTATAAGAAGATTTCACACTTCAGTACCTAACATTTAAAATTTTTAAATGACAAACAAAAGAAGACAACTTTATTTGAAAACACAGAAATTTCTCAGTGAAACATAACACTAGTTGATCGAATTCCATATTCAGAGTCTACTTACTTTACAGGAAAATGCACCAAACAGCATAGCAAACAATTATGGAACAGCCTGCTATTAATTAATGGTTGGGTCATGAGCCAAAGCTTAAGAGCTGATGTATCCCTCAAAGTATTTCACCCTATCCTGTGTAAATGTGGATTGTAGCATAATCCATGCAACAGTCACATCCACTTTTGAATCTTGTTATGACTTTTTTTAATTTAAGGACAAAATTGGTACTGACACCCTGAGTTAATTGTGTATTACATTAAAGCATTTTTCATCTCCATTTTTAAACTAGTGTAATCTTTCTGTTCTGCTGAACAGAAACTCTTCATGTTCCTACCTTATGAGTAAAAACATAAAATTAACATCTTTGTCCACACGACAGATATATAACTGCAGAGTTTATCTCAGATCATTGCATCTAACTGCTGCGAGGATAAAAGCAGACTATGACAATTTATAGGTTATTTACCACTGAGACATTTCAGTGAATGCTCTGTCCCTGCATCAAATTGCATCCATTTAGTTACTGGTTATACTGGAAGTACCTGAAAAAATCAGAATCAGCTACAATAGAAAGGTTACATATTAGCTGCCCTGCATACAGATTTTAACTGATATTTCTATCATCTCTAGCAGTACTCCAAAGAAATCTCACTTCCTCTTTCTCAAGGGGCTAAATTTGTAAGACTGACATATGGGGTAGTGGGAGGGCGAGAGATAGAATACACACCTCCAAGGATCCAACACCCAGTGGCAGATCAATGAACACTTTTCAGTTTTCTCTATTTAAACCATTATAGCTTTCACTCTCTGCTCTGCTGATCCTAAGTGTGCAGGTTGGGGAACAGTTGCAGAAAAAGTTGGGAGACAAGTATGTACAAGAGAGAGAAGAGAAAAGATGTCAGGAAACAGATACTGAACCACATACATGCTGGTAATTCAGCTGCTTCAATACTGATTCCTACCTGATTCCTACCTTATTCAACTGCCTCAAAAACAGACTAGAAGAACTGCTGTAAGAAAGATACTGAACAAGTCACGGCAACTTAGCCATGACTCAGCCACGTCCGTCCGTCTTACAGGATTGCCAGAAACTGGGCTACAAAGGGAAATACCACTTCCTCTATTTGACTACCAAGGGAAAAGTTTCTTGCAGTGATGGTTTTGCGGAGTGTTTTCCACGGGGTTTGGGACTTATTCTGAAAATCACCTAAATCAATGAAAGACTTTCAAATGACCTCATGACTCTCTAGAGCTGATCTCTTTAGCATTTTTTAAAACATACGGGCATCCAAAAACAATATTCAGCACTAACACTGCTTCTTCCTATATGAGATTACTATAATTCCAATTTTGCACAGGCTTGTTCTTAGTCAAGACAAGACAGAGCTGTTGAAGTTCTTAGCCCACTTTTCTTTTGGTATACAAGCGTTTTCTTATCAGGCGAAGAAAACGGTTTGGTTCCTTTGACCCACTGTACAGTATAGGTCCATTCAAGTTAGGCTTAGATCCAGGTTGCCTCCTGGATGCAAAATACTCATTTTTGCAGATTTTAGTTCTTGAAATGCAGCTGTAGCTTACATGAGTGATTTAAAAATTGCATTTAGTGGAATCATGTTAAATAGTATTTTAATTAAACACTTGATGATGAGGATGGATAAACGCCCCCAGAATTTTTTGAACAGTAACCGTGGTCCCTTGACGCAAAAACCTTGAGCGCCTCTGGTAAATGAAAATCTCCTCTGTCTCATAGAGGGACGGAAGAAGCACATTGTCTATATAAGAGAGATTACAATCCATGTGACTGTGGGACAACATGCACATATGGGATCGTATTAGCCGTTCTTGGCTTCCTCCAGATTGTGTGTTCCAAAGGCAGAAAAAAAAGTAATGACTTTTGCCTTGTATTTCCTACATTTTATTCCCTTTTATCCATTTTAAAAGCCACTGTCAGACTCCAGGAAGCAAACAGTTTAAGAGCCATCTCCTTCCAAAAATCAATTGGCATTCTGAAAAAAAGGCAGCAGTCCTTCTTGCAGGGCAGACCACATAGCTTTTATTCACTTATGTGCTGCAAGCCAAGGTTGGGCACTCACAGGCAGCATATCCCATCATGTGCTCAGACATACCGTGGCTCTGCGAGCCCATTTATCCAGCGGCAATGAGTTCCACAGCCTAATTATGCTCTGTGTGAATAAGTACTCCCTTATACTTATTTCAACTATGGCTTTACTGTGGTTTCCATCACACCTAGAATGACACAAAACATGTCCCAACACTTAAAAGTAATAAGAAGTTATAAAGCAGAACTTCAGCTAAAACAATTAAGAAAAGAAAAGAAAAAAACCCTACACAATTCCCCCACCCACCCATTTTCTACAGCAAAATCACGTTTTAACCACTGCAGTGTCCCTGAAGCTACGCTAGCCATTTTCTTTTAATGTTTCCTAGCAGGGTTACCACCAGCACAGCTCCATCTGAACCACCAACATTTTCAGCACTGTGTTGTCTAACCGTCCTCAGAATAGCCAGAAGTAAGTTACTGCTGCTTTGAAACAGAATTTACATTAGAAAAAGTCTGTCTCTTATTAGCTAGGCAGAGTGCTGGAAACACCAGCAGCCAGTTGTAAAACTTCATTTGTATCCAGAATTCCAAAGCCATTATTTAATTTGTTTGGAAAAAATGTAACTTGAAAAAAAAAAAAGCCAACAAAATTATTAAATAAGAAGACGTGTTTGTTATTAAAGATCCATAAAAATGCAAGTAGGCTTGAAATCCAAAGGATCTGAAAATTAACACTGCAAGTACATAAAAAGAAAAGCATACTGAATAGGGCGGGCTGGAAAATAGCAATTCCATTTTACTAAACATTTCAAGGCTTTGAAATCTGTTTTTGTTCCAATAGGAAGCAAAAATGAGATTTTTTGAACGTTTTCATGAAATGAAAATGAGAGAGAGAGTATTCACTCCCTCTGGACCTGAAAAAATCTTCCTAACAAAATTGTTTCCAAAATAGATAACGTTTCCATGAAACATTCTGGTTTTGATGAAACAGCATTTTTCAACAGAAAAAAAAAGCGTCAGCAAAAAAATCACAGCTATTTTAATACCAAAGGTTTATCTACATAGGACACTTGCACCAAGGTAAATTATGTTAAGAATTGAACCAATTTAAGGACATGTATATAGCTCCCCATGCGAACACCATATCACTTTCCTTAAAAAGATATTTGGTAAGATAATTGATCTCTACAAAGTTGTGCTTTTTCTTGATTAACTCAAGTTATTTTATTTTAAAAATGTTAAAGGAATCACAGAATTAGCAAAATTAAACAGGTTCCACAATTCAATTTGTTACTCATTTTGGGAGACTCTTCAATAAACCTGTGACATTCCTGTTCTAAAATAAGAATGGTTTTGTGCTTCAGGAGATTTTTTTTAAAGAAGCTTACACTGTGTTTCCAAAGCCATATAGGTTTAACTGAATTAAGCTCTCATATATCAAGGACAATTCTTTGCTTGAAATGTCACCCCAGACTGGACAGCAAAGTAGAAAAACATTACTGCAATTAACAGTTTTGCAATGAAAGGGAAGTAGACTAATGTTTTTAAGTCTTTGAATCTACCGAAGAGGAAGAAAACATTTACACTGTATGCAACATTTCCTCAGGTAATTCTTCTCTATACCTTTCTTTGCTAAGTGTGTGTTTGTGTGTTAGCTGATTTTGGAGTACGGTTGGGTCATGCACTATTGGATCCAGCTGATGCCTGCCTGATGCCCTGAATATTGCAATTAGAACAGTTCATTGAACAAAGCCTCACTCAGTTGTTCCAACTGATTGCTGAAATAAACGAAATGGCACATCACCTATGCCCACCATAGCACTGCAACACATTTTCCCATGAATTGTTCTCACCTTCCTCTTGTGGTTCTCTGCAAAATTTTCATTCCAGCTAAGCAGCAGAATTTTCCTTCCCATCTCCTGCAATACTGTTCGATGCCTTCTGCAGAATTCAGGGACTGCAACTGTACCTCACTGAACATGCCATAGGCATCTTGGACAAGGAGGCATAACCTGCAAAACATTCCTCTGGTTACTGAATTGCTTCTGTTCATAAAAACTAGTTAGCAGATTTCTGAAAACTGGATTACAAGCTCCAGAACAGGGCTTACAATACTACAATAACTAGAGAATTCCTACTAAATAGTGAATACTGGTACCGGTACGAGTAAACAAAATCAACAGCATTAAAGGTTTTCTTATATATATATTTGCAGGAAGCCCATGAATGAAATAGAGAAGCATGACTGAAAATGAGAATAAAAGGCTTGTACTGGGGAGTAGCTAAACAAACTGCAAAGCAGTATGTGGTTAAGAAGAAAGGAGGTTGACTTTTGCCTAACTTGAGGTGAATTCTGCAATGCAGAGGAATGATGCAAATGTATACATCCATATGTGTGTGTGTGTGTGTGTGCGCGCGTGTGTATACATATGCAGTACACATAAACATACAAATTCTGCATAGAAGTAAACAAAGTAACATATTTCACAAGTAATAACCACAAACTGAAACCAGTAAAATGAACAAATATTACATTTTCACTGAGTTTAAAAGAGTTCTGAGGATTCAAAAACAGTGAAATATCTTTTATTTAACTTTTTCTTTTTTTGTTGTTAGAAACAACAACATGAAACTACAGATCAGTAAATTCAACTTTTCGTATGAAGAAGCCCAGAGGAACTATTTTAAGAAGCTAATTAAAGAACCTGCTAAACATTTGATTAAAGCAATCTGGGAGACCAGGGCTGGGAAGTATTGCTTAACCAATTTGCTGGCATTTCTGGAAGATATTACTGACATAGCAGATAAGGCAAAATCAGTGGATGTCATACTTTTAGATAGTCAAAAATGCATTTCACAAGATTCTGCACCTGAGATGAGTAGCAACGATAGCATGAGTCATGGAGCGCTGGGGGAAGGAGGCTGCTGTCTACAAGATTGATTTAATTGCCCCAGAAAGAGGTAGTTAAACATGGAAACTTTTCAAAAGGGAGACAAGAATTACCTCTGAGGGTAGCACAAGTATCTTCGTTTCTGCCTAAAACTCAGGGATGCACTAGGCAGCAGCATTCTGTCCGTTTTAAACGTGCATGGCAAAGCTACCTTTTCCTGAGCAAGCCAACTCCAACTGCTTTGGGAGCACATCATATAATGTATTAGATGCATCCCAAAAGCATCCAACGGTAGCTATTACTTCTTTACAATACACATTTATAATGAAATGAGCTCCTGTACCTCTCTGGAAGAAAAACTTGTATTTTCTTAGCAGGGAAGCTTAGGCACACAGAAGGCCATTAATCACAGTTTCCTTGTTCATTACGAACTGTCTAACTTTGACTGGCTTAAAGCCTTGAGAGGGCCGTGTCCCGCACAGCACACAAACTCAAAGCCTTTCTGGCATCAGCAGCTGTAAAGGCACCAGCTGAGCGCCCTCATTTTTCACATTCTGGTGCTGGTATTGAGGGACAGGGAGCAGTAGGACTGAATATAAATGAAGGCTCTCATATTTTCTCTGTATCTCTACCTGTAGTGACGTGTAGGCTGGAAAGACAGGTACGCTTAGCTTTGGGATGAGGGACATTCCCAGCCCAGAGAGCCAGTGACTGTCCTAACAACACAAACCTGTGTCTTCTGCAGCTCTATCAATCTTTATATTTCCTGTATAAAACAATCAAGGAGATCACTTGTGGACAACTATCACAAGATAATCTCCAACTCAGCAGAACAAAGAGTATGTTGTGTTATGAACGTGATGGCCCAGAAGCAGAACAACTACGGTTGCCTGTCACTTTCCATCTTAGGACCTTTCAGTCACTTAAAAACCTCTGTCAAGCTTTAACTGATTGGACTGAAATTTCTCATTGTTTTGTTTGGAAAAACAGGGGTAATGGGCTCTGGACGTTTCTGAAAACCAGACTGAGGGGAACAGGAAAAAAAAGCAAACAGCTTTGCCTATGTTAACAAAACATTCAATGATTGTTCATTGTGAAAAATTAGGCCTTCGTATTTTGAAGCAAGCAAGGGCCAACTGAATTCATGTCTCAAATCTCTTAACTGTGTTCAGCAGTCTCTTAACTGTTAACTGATCACTGGAATTTCTCATATCTTTAGTGAGACATAACCAAATGCAAGTTAAGTCTCAGACTAGCTGGCACCAGGCTCACATTAAGTCTTCTGGGACATGTTAATTGCTCAAATAAAATTAACTTGGTTGGTGCTGAAGACATCAGTCACTAAAAGTACATTTTCCCAATCCTTTTAAGCCAAGCAAAATGGTGGCTGCTGTCAGACACGGAAGTCTCAACTTTCTGGTTTGCAACTTCCATACTTCCATCCCTTCATTTGGGCAACACAGACAGCTAGGCTATGAAACTGATCTCACCAGAACATTACTACAGCCCCCCCCAAAAAAAACAAAACAAAACAAAACAAAACTGTAGTCATATCAGCTTCTGGAAAACAAACTCTGTGGAAGTAAATTCCAACCTATGTGGAGAAATACTTATAGGCAAGGGACATATTTTCCAGGCTGGAGTGGTAGTCTGAAGATCCCACTCCGGCTGTCTAGTGTATGCAGCATGAACATTGCAGGCCACATGACCATGCCACTGCTTGGTATATAGAAATAGAAGCAGAAGTGTGTAATTTGAGGCTTATACCACTAATTATCCCATTCATACTAGTAACACGGGCATGATTATTGGCATAATGGACAAAGACAGAGCAGCAGAACCTCTTGCACCATGCTCCAAACATTTTTGCCCTATTAGGACCGTACATGTGAGCAGATACCCAATACGCTACATTTACTCCAAGGGTATCCAAAGGCAGTCATAATTTCTCCAACATGCATTTAAAATGAAATAAACATATCCAATCACTTGGAAGACAGAATTCCGCAATGAAACTTCAGACGTACAATTTTAGACTAAAAGATAAGGAACATCCCAAACTAACTCTATGAACGTAACTTTATGAACAAATGTTCCCTGCTTCAACACTGTCTAAAAAGAAGTTCAAATGAAAGAATGACAAAATCTTGAAATATTCTTAACAGCAGTTGATCTGCCTTGCACTAGTTAAATAGCTCATACTATAGGTACTTAAATGAGTGAAAATTGATTTTCCTACTTAATGGCTACAACGAAATCAGGTGAATCATACAACAGAATTCAGCAACGCATTCAGAGGATTGCTCTCACGTCTCTGAAACTGCTTCTGTTCTTATGGGCTTCACATATGCTCTTAGCATAACTGCCCATGGCATGCAGGTCAAAGTGGCTTTCAGGGGCTGTTGATTCAAGGCCTTAACTTCTTCACCACTAATGCGTTTTCCTTAATTTCACTTTATTCACAGAAAAGTGGATTTGTATTATTTTCTCATGTTGCAGTGTTGCTCCCCTATTGCAAGCAAATGTTTTACCAAAATAAGTTTTACCAGCAAGTCAGTGTAACAGTGATTAAAACAACAGATTGCTACACGATTTCACCTCCCTTTGAAGCTAATCACCCGGAAGAAAACCCACATCTAAACTATGAGACGTGCTGCAAATCCAAAAAAAGTATTTGCCCCCAAGGAATTCAGCATTTATTATTTGTGTGCACATCTATCGCAAAACAATTTTTCTATAAAACATGACATTTGTACTGAATAAGTTAATCGGCTAAAATCAACTTTTATTAATGGCTTGCCAGTACGCATACTACTGAACTGTGAGAAAAGAAAAGGGGAACATCACTGTTTTTATCAGGAGTGTTTGCGGTAGGGAGGAAATAAGGACTATCTTTCTTTTAGGGACAACAGGATGCATAGTCCTGCATAAGAACTGAATTTTAAAGATGGCTTTGGAAACAGACATTTCTCATGCAAAGCAACAGAGAATTCATTTCAGGACTGAGGGGTGGCGTGAAAGCCAGGAGAGGAGTGCGTGTGGGAGATGCAGAGTAAGGAAAGGGTGAAGTATGACTCACTGGTAATAACAAAGGGGGCGAGGATAGGGAATGATAAGAACTGAGGCAGAGATTAGCCTTTTTTTTTTAAAGCAATGACACAGTAAGTCTCATGCTAAAGCTTGGGAAGATTTTTGTTAATTTGCTAATAGCCAGGAGCAAGGATGGGGGCAGGGGAAAGATGAGACTGATTATTCTGCATTATTTCTATGACTGTGCTGATATTTAGGACAAAATGTTTCCCAGTGGAAATCTGGAGAGGATTACAGGGTTACACTGC